ACTGTGCTGCTGTCAATTCAAGTACATACCAATTATAGTTATGGGCTTAGACACCTAATCCAACAGTTTTGAAGATCGGGAATGAAGATTGGGATGATAGTTGAGAGGATTTGAGAGGAAATCAGCCAAGGGAAAGAAAGGAATGAACAAATGGCCAACATTTCATCATATAAGGTGGAGTTTACGGCCCACATGGAGTTTACGGCCGTAAACTCCATTGTGGTGGCCGTGAACTCTTGGTCAAGGTGTTTCAGGCTTGTTCTTTGTACTATAGTTCCAGCAGATAAACCCCGACACTTATCCCTTAAGTGTACAAGGCTCAGAACGCTCAAATAAACTCCTAATTGTGCTAAAAGATAGCAGAAATGAGTTTGACTTTCAATGAAGTGTTTGACTGAACAGGATAGAAAATTTCGGGTTGTCACATGAATTGATGGAACTTTTGCTTAATTTTGTTTAATTGAACAGCAATTTAGAAGAGTTGGACAAGTTCTAGCTTTGTAATCAAGTCTGTCCAGTTCAACACGTACCAAAATCCATGTTATGGATTATTTATGACATAAACATGATTATCATTTAAAAACCCAAGGGAATAGATTTTCTTACATTCTTATGGTATATTAAATAAATTATCAGAAAAAAATCAACTACTGTTAGAACAGATAAAACATAGATGTGAATCAGCCATGAAACTGAGCTACAACAATGTTAGTGAGTTCACTAATTCTAAATGTTGTGGTTTGTTAAATTCCCTGAGATGATGCGAATCAAATCCATATATGTAATTTTAAAATTTATACGAATATCATAGTAAGTATTAAAAGTTAATAAGGTTGCAAAACAAAAAATTTCCATTACAATTTCATATATTGATTACCCAAAGTCTTTCTCTTATGGTCCTTATTTATCTTCACATATTAGTTGTAGAATTAGCGACAGATTTTTTATGGAATTAGAAGTACATTATAACTTCAATAAAATTTTTAGGCATATTCAATTTTGTTTGCACATCACATTTTGTGATCAATTCTCTCTTATCTTCACATATTATCGACACTATTAGCGGCAGATTTTTTATGGAATTAGAAGTGCCTTATAACATCAATCAGATTGTTAGGCATATTCAATTTTGTTTTCCAAAAAATTCTAATAATAGTTTATTCTAAAAGCAAATGTACCTATCAAATTGATCATATTGTGTATAGTTGCTTCTTGAAATCAAATTGGGTTCATTGTTACTATTTTAAATTACAAACAAAACTAATTTTAGAAAAGACAAAATTTAACTTTGTAAGCGGAAAACATATGACGGAAAAAGTTGCCATGCAAAATTCTTTGCGGACTGAATTTTCAATCATTTAGTACATGTTGTTATGTGGAGAGTATATAGACCAATGACAAAGTCAAGTGGAGCGTGTTTTACTTAATAAACTAGATTATAACCTGCGTTAAACGCGAAAGAACGCATAAAAAGTACAAATCATTAAAGGACATATTTGTAGACAACTTTTTATGCTAAAAAGAATTGGATGCATTAATGGGTTAAAATGAATTTATTCAATTCTTCAATACGTATAATAAACAAAATTAATATCATAAAACAAAAAAAAAATTAACGCTATCTTTGATATCTTTTCTATCAGCCACTGATTACCACGGTGAATAACATCTTTAATATGACAGTCAAACAATACAAAAGAAGCAGACTCAGTTTCATATTGAACACAAATTGCAACCCTCACCCTAAAACTTATAAAATGACACTTTAATGGACAATGAAATAAAATTTGAAACATTCGAATAAAGATTAATGGCACAAGAACTTTACAAATGTAAAATTATGAATTTACTTGTTGTAAACATCGGAAGCTCCACCACAACCATCACAAGTAAATGGTTCAGCATTAGTATCATCATTATTCTTACTTACTTTTTTTGAATAGTCACAACAATAAAAAGAATATCAGTCTTCGTCTAAATCAAAACCGATGACAGTAGCAATGATGGACAAACCAATTTCCTATTTCATAATTTTTTTTTTAAAATATATAATTTTTTCATATATATATATATATATATATATATATATATATATATATATATATATATATATATATAT